ATTCCTCCCCCCATGACACAACGATTGAGGGCACTATTCCTCCCACTGACACCAATTGATGGGGCACTATTCCCCCCACTGACCCACGATGGGACATATTTCCATTCCCCCATACCCCCTGACCCCAATGATGGGGCACTATTCCACTGACACCCTCCACCACACTGACATCAACGTGATGGGGCACTAATTCCTCTCCCACTGACACCAACCGATGTGGCACTATTCCACCATGACACCAACAGTGATGGGGCACTACATCCACTGACACCAGTGATGGGGGCACTATTCCCACTGACACCAGTGATGGGGCACTATTCCCCCACTGACACACCAGTTGATGGGGCACTATTCGCCCCACTGACGGACAGCCAATGATGGGGCACTTACTCCCCACTGACGCCATGATGGGGCACTATTCCCTTCCACTGACACCAGTGATGTGGCACTATTCCTCCCACTGACACCAGTGATGGGGCACTATTTCCCATGACACAACTACTATTCCTCCCACTGACAACCATGATGGGGCACTTACTCCCCCCCACTGACACCATGATGGGGGCACTATTCCCCCCACTGACACCAATGGATGGGGCACTACTCCTCCCACTGACACCGTGGGATAATGAACCAAGATGGCAGCTACTCCTTCCCACTGACACCAACGATTGGGGCACTACTCTCCCACCCCCCGCATGACCCAGATGGTGGACGATTCCCCACCAAATGATGGGGCACTACGCCTCCCACTGCACACACAACGATGGGTCACTACTCCTCCCACTGACACCAGCGATGGGGCACTATCTCCCACTGACACCACGATGGGGCACTAGTCCTCACCTGACACCCACGATGGGGCACACTATTCTCCCACCCTGACACCAGCGATGGGGCACTACTCCTCCCACTGACACCAGCGATGGGGTACTCTCTCCCATTGACACCAACGATGGGGCATACTCCTCCCACTGACACCAACGTAGGGGCACTACTCCCTCCCACTAGACACCAACGATGGGGCACTATAATTCACCCACTGACACCAACGATGGGGGCACTATTCCCTCGCCACTGACACCAACGATGGGGCACTATTCCTCCCATGACACACCCAACGATGGGGCATATTCCGCCCACTGACACCCAAGATGGGGGCACTATTCCTCCCACTGACACCAACGATGGGGACTATTCCTCCCACTGACACCCACACGATGGGGCACTATTCCTCCCCCACTGACACCAACGATGGGGCACTATTCCCCCACTGACACCCAACGATGGGGCACTATTCCTCCCACTGACACCAACGATGGGGCATATTGCTCCCACTGACACCAACGATGGGGCACTATTCCCCACTCCAACGTGGGGGGGGGGGTCACTACCCAATGACAAACGATGGGGCACTATTCCTCCCACTTGACACCAACGATGGGGCACTATTCCCCACTTATGACACCAACGATGGGCACTATTCCTCCCACTGACACAACGATGGAAGGGGCACTATCCTCCACTGACACCAACGATGGGGCACTATTCCTCCACTGACACCAACGATGGGGCCACTATTCCTCCCACTGACAACCCCAACGATGGGGCACTATTCTCCCCACTGACACCAACGATGGGGCACTATTCCTCCCACTGACACCAACGATGGGGCACTAGTTCCTCCCAGTCTGACACCAACGATGGGCACTATTCCCTCCACTGACACCAACGATGGGGCACTATTCTCCCACTGACACACAACGATGGGGCACTATTCCTTCTCCCCACTGACACCAACGATGGGGCACTAGTCCTCCCACTGACACCAACGTTGGGGCACTATTCCTCCCACTGACCACCAACGATGGGGCACTATTCCATCCCACTGACACCACGATGGGGCACTATTCCTCCCACTCGGACACCAACGATGGGGCACTATTCCTCCCACTGACACCAACGATGGAGCGCACTATTTCCTCCCACTGACACCAAACGATGGGGCACTATTCCACTCCCATGGGGACTGACACCAACGATGGGGCACTATATTCCCCACTGACACCAACGATGGGGCCACTATTCCTCCCACTGACACCAACGATGGGGCACTATTCCTCCCACTCGGACACCAACGATTCCTCCACTGGGGCACTATTCTCCACCCACTGACTATTCTCATGACCAATGACTGACTCCAACGATGGCACTATTCTCCTCCCACTGACTCCAATGACAAAGAGGCACTACACCTGACATGGCCACTCCTCCACTGACACCAAAATGGACTACTCCTTGCAAAACAGTTATGAAGTAGCAATGAAAATAATTTTATGGTTGGGGGTCACCACAACATGAGGAACTGTATTAAGGGGTCGCGGCATTAGAAAGGTTGAGAACCACTGGGCTAAGTAGTCAGCATTTCTTGTCTAGCAGTACTAGGGTCATCAGTTCAAATCCCAACCATGTGACACTATCACTGCACGGAGTCTGCATTGTTCTCCCTGTGCCTGCGTGGGTTTCCTCCAGGTACTCCTGCTTCCTTCCTCACTCCAAAGACATGCTGGTAAATTAATTGGTTCCTGTCTAAATTGGCCCTAGTATGTGTATGTATGAATTTGAAATTCAGGACCTTAGATCGTAAGCTCCTTGAAGGCAGGGCACTGAGGTGAATGTACAATAAAAATATATATATATGTAAAGTGCTGCATAAATTGACGGCGCTATATAAGTACCTGTAATAATTGTACAAACTGAGACGGCACCAAAAATAAAAAAAATCCATGACTCAAGGTTATTTGTGGAGAGAAGAAAGCCTGGGCATTCAAGAGGTTAAGGAATGTATTGCTCTACAATATTTGTTACTCCAAACATAAGGGAGGGCTTGATTTATCAGCTCATTTAGTGGGAATTATCAGCCAAACAGTGACTGCATTCCTATCAGATGCAGTCACAGTTGGCCCAGAAACCTTGGGTACACAGATACAACATATGGCAGTGGAGATTCCTCTTGTCCATTTTTTTAGCATGGATGGGAAAATTAATTGAATTTCCCTCATCTGCAAAAATCTAGCCTTGTACAGTGGGGCAAAAAAAGTATTTAGTCAGCCACCAATTGTGCAAGTTCTCCCACTTAAACGATGATGAGAGAGGCCTGTAATTGGCATCATAGGTAGACCTCAACTATGAGAGACAAAATGAGAAAAAAAATCCAGACAATCACATTGGCTGATTTGGAAAGAATTTATTGCAAATTATGGTGGAAAATAAGTATTTGGTCACTCTACAAAAAAGCAAGATTTTTGGCTCTCACAGACCTGTACCTTCTTCTTTAAGAGGCTCCTCTGTCCTGCACTCATTACCTGTATCAATGGCACCTGTTTGATCTTGTTATCAGTGTAAAAGACACCTGTCCACAACCTCAAACAGTCACACTCCAAACTCCACTATGGTGAAGACTAAAGAGCTGTTGAAGGACACCAGAAACAAATTTGTAGACCTGCACCAGGCTGGGAAGACTGAATCTGCAATAGGCAAGCAGCTTGGTGTGAACAAATCAACTGTGGGAGCAATAATTAGAAAAAGGAAGACAATACAAGACCACTGATGATCTCCCTCGATCTGGGGCTCACAGCAAGATCTCACCCCAATGGGGTCAAAATGATCAACAAGAACGGTGAGCAAAAATCCCAGGACCACACGGGAGGACTATGTGAATGACCTGCAGAGAGTGGGACCAACGTAACAAAGGCTACCATTAGTAACACACTATGCCGCCAGGGACTCAGTAGATCCTGCAGTGCCAAACGTGTCCCCCTGCTTAAGCCAGTACATGTCCGGGTCCGTCTGAAGTTTGCTAGAGAGCATTTGGATGATCCAGAAGAGCATTGGGAGATTGTCATATGGTCAGATGAAAACCAAAATAGAACTGTTTGGTAGAAACACAACTCATCGTGTTTGGAGGAGAGAGAATGCTGAGTTGTATCCAAAGAAACACCATACCTACTGTGAAGCATGGGGGTGGGCAACATCATGCTTTGGGGCTGTTTCTCGCGCAAAGGGACCAGGACGACTGATCCATGTACAGGACAGAATGAATGGGGCCATGTATCGTGAGATTTTGAGTGCAAACCTCCTTCCATCAGCAAGGGCATTGAAGATGAAACGTGGCTGGGTCTTCCAACATGACAATGATCCCAAAAACATACCGCCCGGGCAACGAAGGAGTGGCTTCGTAAGAAGCATTTCAAGGTCCTGGAGTGGCCTAGCTAGTCTCCAGATCTCAACCCATAGAAAACCTTTGGAGGGAGTTGAAAGTCCGTGTTGCCCAGCGACAGCCCCAAAACATCACTGCTCTAGAGGAGATCTGCATGGAGGAATGGGCCAACATACCAGCAACAGTGTGTGCCAACCTTGTGAAGACTTACAGGAAACGTTTGACCTCTGTCATTGCCAACAAGGGATATATAACTAAAGTATTGAGATGAACTTTTGATATTGACCAAATACTTATTTTCCACCATATTTTGCAAATAAATTCTTTCCAAATCAGCCAATGTGATTTGTCTGGATTATTTTTCTTCATTTTTGTCTCTCATAGTTGAGGTCTACCTATGATGCCAATTCCAGGCCTCTCTCTCATCTTTTTAAGTGGGAGAACTTGCACAATTGGTGGCTGACTAAATACTTTTTTTGCCCCACTGTATGGCTACTGTAATGGAATGTGACCAAACAATTGGCAGTTGTGCAGAGAACTGTGTAATCTGTGAAAACAGGAAACTAATGAGTGAAACTCTGACATTCTGTTTTTGTGTTTGATCTACAAAAGCCCAACAAAAAAGGAGGCTTAATAAACTTAACCTCTGTCTGTGACTTTTAAAGGGGCAATCAACTACCTGGCTTCTGGGACTTGCCCTCTTTGGATTCCTGTTGTGCCAGTGTTTCCAACAGACCTCCCTGTTCTTTTCACTAATGCTCTTCTTGTTTTTCCTTTGCAGGCTATAAAGAATAATGCAGGCTTTAGAGTGTGGATCCTCTTCTTCCTAGTCATGTGTTCATTCTCTTTACTCTTCCTGGACTGGTATGATAGTTAATAATTTAGCTGTGCCTCACAGCCACAACTTCATTTGCACAATGTTAAAATCGTTAAGAAAATGCCACATCTTTGTTGTTCTCCTTCCTCCACATTAGTCTGGATATGTTAATAAAATGTCACTTTTAATAATGAGGTCATGAAGAGTGTTTACAAGAGATTAACTGGAATAAACTGAGCCGTTTGCATTACGGGGGAAAAGCCAGACTTGCTGACTGCTTCTACACTGGAATTGTTAAAGGAACACTAACCTCCAGGACATTGCCTAACTGGGTTGAAGATTGGGAGCTGCATGCGCTACATTCAGCTTTTTTTTTTTTTTGGTAACTTTACTCTTCAGCTTTCTGTATTAAATATTGGACCAGTGCCTTCCCGGAAGTGAAAACCAACATAACAGTTGTGCACTCTAAATATATAATGATTATTTTGAAATACCTTTCCTGGCTAGCAGCAGAGATGGGTTGCCCAATTAGCAGTTTGGCAGCTGCCTGCACATAGACCCTCCCTTTCAATGAAAACAATGTGGAGATGATTAAAAAAGGTTGCCATTGCTTACCACTGTAGTGCTCCCCCGCCCTAGGCCTGTATCCATATTTATGCTGTTCATTCGCCTAGCCTTTACGCATGTTCTGGAAGGCTCTCACAGCTCCCTGAAGACAGACAGAACTCAGACAAACTCCAACAGCACTAGAGCAGCATGAGCAGACCTGACTCATCAATCACAGCACTTTTGTTAACCACTTGCTTTCCAGACGATTTACCCCCTTCCTGACCAGGCCATTTTTTTGCGTTACGACCCTGCATTATGTTAACTGACAATTGCGCGGTCATGCAACGCTGCACCCAAATGACATTTACGTTCTTTCTTTCCACAAATAGAGCTTTCTTTCAGTGCTATTTGATTACCTCTGCGGTTTTTTTTTTTTTTTTGCGCTATAAACAAAAGAAGACCGACAATTTTGAGAAAAAAAAAACAATATTTTTTACTTTGCTATTAAACGTGTCCATACTGCGAAAAAATTTTTTTATTAAATCAAATTTCGCCATAAATTTAGGCCAAAATGTATTTTGCTACATGTCTTGCTACTAAAAAAAAAAAAAAAACTCCACAAAATGTGTAAATTAATTGTTGTATGTGAAAGTTATAGCGTTTACAAAAGCCGATATATATACTGGAATTCGGTTTTTTTTGGGGTTTTTTTAACTAGTAATGGCGGTGGGCATTCTGACACTGGGGGAACTGACTTGGTGTTTCTGACATCCCTAGTGACACCAATACCATGATTATATAGTATAAATAAAAAGCACTGACACTGTACTAACGACACTGGGCAGGAAGTGGGTTAACATCTGGGGTGATCAAACAGTAAACTGTGTGCTGTTTCACTACTTGGGCTGTGTGTGTTTGTGCTTCACTGTAAGAATGCTATGCAGAGCCACACAAAGCGGTGTGCAGGAGCTGACAGAGAAGAGATCTGTGTTTATACATGGAGATACTCGGCGATTACTGGGTGTCGGCGAGTAATCATCCGGCCGGGACCCGGTGCCTGACACTCTGATAAGCAGAAAAACACAGCTATGCTTAACTTAACTATACACATCCTAGCACCAGACTAGGAGGGTGCTACATTACTTTTTGAAAATTTTAGTTACCTGCTGTCTCTGGTTTGAATGGTTTTAAACCCCAGACTCGGCATCCCCCTCCTCAGTTGCCTTCCCCCCCTGGAGAACCCCCCCACATGTATGCTTTGCTTTTTTGTTTTTATACTTCCTTTTTTCAGATGTCTTTAGGCCAGTCTGATGAAGTGCTGGTTCCTCTCTGCCTCTTCTTCAGTACTCCACTGTCTTTAGACAATACATAGATTGGCAGCGACATCACATCAGCCATGTGTCATCAAGACTCACATGGCTGAATGAGAGAAATTAGTCAATTTCAACAATATTGTAGATGGAGGCATCTCCCCTGCCTGGCTATTATATTTAAGCCTGGTACACACGGGCCGATTATCGGTCAGTTCAACAGAAACCGGTTAGACATTTAGTCCTTGTGTACAGCAGCCTGTTCTTCAGAAGCCGGCCAAACTTCCAGCTTCTGTAGAACAGGCGTGCTGGAAAAAACATCTGCTGATCGGCATCTGACCAGTGCTGGCAGCCATTGGCTGACCAGTGTGTTCTGGTGGGGAGATTGCTGTACTAACATTGCACAGTCAGTACAGAGACCTCTTCATGAGCTATTCTGGTCTTTTTCTTTTGTTCAGCCCAACAAAGAATAAAATAGCACAATGGAGAGGATGCACCCATCCACATTGAGTGTATGGATGGGGAAATCAAGTCATTTTTCCTGTTCAACCTTCTGGTTGAACTAAAGAAAAATGACTCCGCTGCCTTAGAGGGTTAACACAAACCATTTAAAGTGGAACATCACTCAAAAAGTGAATTCTCATTGGTTTTCGTCCTTTCTCCAACCAGTAACTAAGTTACAGCATTTTTTCTTTTTGGGGGGTTGTACCATTTTTTTTTTTTTTTTTTTGGTACCTGTTTCCATTTCCCTAATTCTAGAATTTCCTTGCCCTGCCCCCTCTGCTCCAACGGCCATGTGCCAGAAGGGCCGCAGAACCATTCACAAAGTGCCACCTGAGCTCACTCATGCACAGTGCATAGCCAGTTGTTCCTCAAGAAGTCACAGCCGGCTCCTGTATCCGAGATTGCAGTGCTGGGGACTTGCAGCGGTAAGAAGAACTAACTGTGGGAAGACCGCACTGGACCCCAGGCACAGGTAAGTACCTAATTTTTTTTATAAGTCAGCAGCTACAGTAATTGCAAAAAAAGCAAACCAAAGTTCCTCTTTAACACTGACAGGGGTTCCTACAATGGTCAGCTTTTACCCATTTAGTTAAAACTTTATCTCAAAAGGAAAACAGAACTGTATCTGTAACCTCCTAAAAAGTGCTAGCTGGAGATAGACTAATTTTCTAGACACTTACGTAAAGTCCATCTAAGGCCTCCTGTGCACTGAATGCCTTTTCTCCTGGCAAGAGAAAAGCAGCATTATAAACACGCTTAAACCTGCATTTTGTAAATGCATTTAGGCACGTTTGGCCATGTCAGCCATTTTGGGAGTTCATTCATTTAGTTGATCATTGAAATTAATGAACACTCAAGCTCTAATCACATAAACCACTTCAGAGTAGAACTATAGGCAATATTTATTTTTCATTTTGGATAGAGTAAGGGCCCTTTTCACATGGGCAGACTCTAACAAGCGGATCCACAACCCCCCCACCGGGCCTTTGGTCTGTCTGCTGATACATGCTGAGCAGGCAGATAACAGGTCCGTGTCCACTCCGCTTGTGCAGATACAGACACAGCCTGCTGTTCTCTGTGGAGCCGTCAGATGTAAACAGACTGCCTGTCCGTTTACATGTGACTGTTCTCTGATCTGCTTGACTGATGGGAAACAGATCTCTATCCGTCTGTTTTTAGCGGCAGATCTGATCAGATGCAGACAAGTGTAAACTGACACATGGCTGTTTACATCCGCCTCCCCATAGAGAACAATAGGTGGATTGTTCGGGTCCACCTGAAAAACTGACCGGCGGACACGATTGGTCTGCCTTTGTGAAAGGGCCCTAAGGGAGGGTTTTAACCCTTGTATGATTTATCATTATTATTCTTATTATACAAGATTTATATAGCGCCAACAGTTTGCTCAGCACTTTACAATATAACGAGAGACAATACAGCAACAACACCGTTCAATACAAGAGGGTTAGGAGGGCCCTGCTCCTTGGAGCTTACAATCTAAGAGGGAGGGGCTAGTGGTACACAAGGTAATAACTGTGGGGGATGGACTGGTAGGAGGAATAGAAGATTCCATTGTTAGCTGAGGGCAGGATAGGCTTCCTGAAGAGAGAGGTTTTCAGAGATCGCCTAAAAGTGAGCAGAGTAGGCGATAGTCTGATAAATTGGGGTAGAGAGTTCCAGAGGATGGGGGAAGCTCTGGAAAAGTCCTGGAGATGAGCATGGGAGGAGGAGACAAGGGAACTAGAGAGCAGGAGGTCGTGCGAGGAGCGGAGAGTACGGTTTGGGTGATATTTGGAGACAAGATTGATGAAATTTGGGGCAGAGTTATAAATGGCTTTATATGTTATTGTTAATGTTTTGAATTTTATTCGTTGGGCAATGGGAAGCCAGTGGAGGGATTGGCAGAGAGGGGTGGCAGACGTGGAACGGTTAGTAAGGTAGATGAGTCTGGCAGCATCATTCATGATAGACTGAAGAGGGGATAGCCTGCAATGAGGTAGGCCAATGAGAAGGGAGTTACAATAGTCAAAGCGAGAGATAACCAGGGACTGAATAAGTTGCTTAGTAGTTTCAGAGGTTAAGAACGGGCGTATCTTGGAGATGTTACAGAGGTGAAGTCTACAAGATTTGGACAGCGATTGGATTTGGGGCTGAAAAGACAGATGGTAGTCTAGGATTACACCTAGCACCCTGGCATGAGGGGAGGGACTGATAGTTGTATTATTGATCTTGATGAAGAAGTCAGGGGAGGGGGCACAGGCTGGATGAAATAGTATGACCTCTGTTTTAGAAAGATTGAGTTTGAGGAAGTGGAGTGACATCCATGCCGATATATCAGTAAGTTAGTAATGTGAGAGGAGACTGAAGGGGTGAGGTGAGGAGTAGAAAGATAGATTTGTGTGTCATCAGCATAGAGATGGTACTTAAAGTCATGGGAGTTTATCAAGTGACCAAGGGAGGAGGTGTAGATGGAGAAGAGAAGGGGTCCAAGGACAGAACCTGCAGGGACCCCTACAGAAAGAGAGAGTGGAGGAGACCGAGTTATAGGTAACGCTGAATGAGCTCTGCGATAGATAGGAGGAGAACCAGGAGACAGCAGAGTCTCAGAGGCCAAGAGAGTGGAGTTTTTTGAGGAGGAGGGGATTGTCGACCGTATCAAAAGCTGCAGAAAAGTCAAGTAGTAACAGTAGGGAGTAG